AGAAACTTAGAATTCTTCTTGGATACTACCCTTTCCCTCACCAAAACCTGGCCATTTTACCCCCCAAGTCTTTCAAATTCTTTAGATTTCTAACACAGTACTTGAGTACACCTCAGTATGAGCTAGTACTACCAGTCTATTATATCTTTTGACTGAAATACTGGCAGTATCCATTACCTGATTTAATCAATTTGCCACAGAACTCCTTCAGTTTGTTTCCTATGTAGCTAGAGATCTTTCAAAATAAAATTATCTGCCCCTACTTGTTAAAATCTTCAACTTCTCATTGCTCTTAGCATTAAGACCAACCAAGGACCTTTATGGTCCACCCCCCCCCCCCCCCCCCCCACCCCCAGCCAGCCACCTTCTTAAATATGCACCCACACACTTCTTACAGCCTGAAAAACTGATAGAAGGGAGACAGGGAAAGTTTTGAGAACAGATGAGACTTCAAATATTTCTATGATAAACAGGTCAAAAAAATGAGATGTTTGTTATTAGAGAGCCAGGTATGCATCAATCATTTAGAGAAAACATTGTTTTGGATTTTGGAATTTTGAATTTCCTAGGACTTCAATGAGGTACGTAGCAAAAAACGATTTAAAAAATGTGTCTGGGGGCGTGCCTGGGTGGCTCAGTTGGTGAAGTGTCTGACTTTGGCTCAGGTCATGATCTTACGGTTCAAATGTGAGTTTGAGCCCTGCATCCGGCTCTGTGCTGACAGCTCAGCCTGGAGCCTGCTTCAGATTCTGTCTCCCTCTCTCTCTGCCCCTCCCCCAGCTTACACTCTCTCTCTCTCTCTCTGAAAGACGTAAAAAAAAAAAGAAAAAAAAAGAAAAAAAATGTGTTTGGAACACAGAATAGGTTGACCGCAGAAATGCAATGAAGTCAAAAGTAGTAATTGCGGGGCACCTGGGTGGCTCAATCAGTTAAGTGTCCAACTCTTCATTTCGGCTTCAGGTCACAGTATCATGTTTTGTGAGACCAAGCCCTGCATCAGTGCAGAGCCTACTTGGGATTCGCTCTCTCTGCCCCTCCCGTGCCCTCAAAAATAAACAAGTAACAACGAATACTTGCAGAGGACCCATTACACTGTTTTAGATACTTTAAAGATTACCTCACTGAGAATCCTCAGAATCACCCACCCTACAGAAGCAGCACAGAACAACAGTGGAATTCCCAAAGCCCAGCTGTCTCCAAAGCTCTCCTCTTATTTCACTATATAGTAGCTACTAAATGGATAATCAACCGAAGCTGAAGTTGTGCCTGGCCTAAGGGAAACCACCCGAAGTTTTCCAAGAAAGAGAGTAAGTGCACAAGGGATTCAGAGGGGTTGTGAGGTGGTAAGATAAAGCACAGGAAACAAAAGCAGTTAAAGGAATATTATTGTCACAAAAGTGAAAACATTTTTGGTGCCCAGATGGCTCAGCTGGTTGAACGTCCGGCTTTAGCTCAGGTCATGATCTCACAGTTCATGAGTTCAAGCCTCATGTTGGGCTTTGTGCTGACAGCTCAGAGCCTAGAGCCTACTTCGGATTCTGTGTCTTCCTCTCTCTTGGCCCCACCACCTCTTGCTGTCTCTCTCTCAAAAATAAACTTAAAAAAAAAAGTGAAAGCATTTGAAATAGGCAGCCAACTTTATCAAAACTATTAGAAGGAAAAAAAATCTGAGATCAAGGACAAAGAGATCAATTAATTTGGCAATAGAAGCATAGTAATCTTCCTGTGAACGTTTAATTCTGAATCTACATTTATAGTATTTTGCCAGGTATTTGCTAATGCTAAACTTTCCTATTAATTCTGAAGCATATTAAACATATGTATACATACATAAACAGATTTGAAGATTTTAGGCTCTATTTGTCAAAAATACCCAGAAACTTTGTTAGGAATTATTTGGTTTAATGACATAAATTATTTAAAAAAATTACTCTCTGTATGAACCTACTGAAATCTTATCACAAAGGGAAATTTCTTTCATGATGTAATACTATTCATTTATCCAGTAATTTTAAAATAATTTAGAACTCTGGCATCAACTTAGCCAAGGGTCTACTACTAAATAATAGAAAGTCTTATGGAACACAGAATAGAGAGAAAAAAAAAAAAAAAGGGTCTTCATTCTTCTAGTTAAAATATAACGAGTCAGTTGTCCTAATTTAAAAGAAAAATATGAACATCCATCCACTAAGTTTTCTTTCACTTGCCACAGACTATATCATCGTATCATAACTGAAATGAAGCATCTTGTGTGGCTAAAATGTTCACATATTTTCTTCCAATAAATCTTCTGGACCAAATAATTTTTTGCCTGAAATGTGGTTGTTTTCAATACAGTGTGGCATATATTTTTATCCCTTCTAAAAAATGTTTTTCCCCAGCTATAAAGTTAGATAAGTTACTACATTATAAGTAAAATTCATAAAATCTTAAGTCTTACTTCCTTGAGAGTACTGAAATAATGACTTTGCTCCAGTACAAACTTGTGAAGACTGACTGAAGGAATCTTCATAAACAGTATCAGGAAAAATTCATTTATAACCATCCCTTTTAACAAAAGAAAAGTCTCAAGTTCTAAAATTACATATGCATTAGGACCTCATTTTTCATTTGAAATGTATACTTGTAAATGTGACTAAAATAATTACTTTCCCTTTAATATTCTTCTAGAGCTTGACAAATTTGTTCCAATTTCTGACTTGGGTCTGTCCCTAACTTCAGATAACCTCAATCTTCCCATCCCTCTTTTCCTTTCCTTCTGAAATATGAGGTAGCAATCCTTTGGAAAACTCAAGTTTTGGTTTTTCTTTATATAAATGTTTAGTAAGTAGTCTGCTTTAGATCGTTCTCACCTTCACTGAATTTAACTTAAATAATTTAATATTCTTTAATTGTACACCAGTTAGCTAAGAGAAATGGGACAGATCTCTAACCATGTTCAAGTCTTACACTGAAATGTTTTACTTTTTTATGCATCAAATTTCACAAACAAGCAGCAGTTGGTTTTAGAACAATTCCTTGGCTGTTTGAAATGCAATAGGGAGAAAATACTTTGGAACACAAATCTACAGATTAAATTAGGGACATAGATAAATGCTGCAGACATCAGTAGTTTATTGTTTGTTTAGTCCAAACACATTCAAAATGGAAACTCAAAGAATACTTTTCCACCTGAAACAATTAAACTAGATTCTACTAGCATATAATGCTTAACACATTACAGCAATAAAGATGGTAATCCATTGTCTTCTATACCTACTAAAGCCAAGATGGTAAAGCCAATTTGGTTGCAATAGTGTCATAAGGATAGAATATTACCATCAAAAAAAAAAAAACAAAAACAAAAACAACAAAAATAAATCAAAAACAAAAACCAGCAAATAACAGTAATGGTCAATGAATATTTTTACTCTGGTTCACTGAAAAGGGGACAAAATGTTAAAAGTCCACAGTACTGCAGGTGAACAATCACCATGTAAACTTCTCCATGTGATGTTTTAATGTTTTTTTTTTTTTCATGGTATGTAAAGACTGAAGCTGAATGGCTCTTTACTCTAATTTTCTATTACACTTAACATTTGTCATTGCTTTTGGTGCCAGAAAACAGTTTTCATGGGTGGCAGGGCAATATCCTAGATTGGAAATTACATACATATTTAAAAAGGGAAGGAGAAAGAAATAAAAGAATAGAGGGGAAATATGCTATAAAAAAAACCCAAAACACTGACAATAAACCACTTACTTAAAAGTAGTTTGAATAAAGGCTTCAAAACTCAAAAGTAATTTTCTGGTAAGAACTTCAAGTACTATACATCAGAAAGTGTAAAAGTGTTCAAACAGGAAAAAAATCTTTAAGCACCCCCCCAATGGAAACTATGAGAAATCTGTGTCCCCCAAATATATGCAATAGTGCAAGACTTTTCCCCAAACATGGAAGACCTCTTTCAAGGGGGAAAAAAATGGAGAGATTTCACTTATATTGCCCAGTACATGAAAATCAAAATATGTGCATCATTTGCTAGTTTACTAAATAGCAAACAGTTCCATAATCCAGAACCAGTTTGCTACTATGTCAAGTGCATTTTTTGTTTGTTTTTACTAAGAATGGAGAAGTCTTCCATGCTAACAAGCAGCTTTAAGTGGTCACACTTAATTTACCTCACTCCTAGCCTGAAACATCAGGAACTGTAATGTACCAAATGCTCCAAGCATAAAATTGGATATCCTTTGCCATAACTTGCGGTTTACTGGAACTTGCTATAAAGACAGACAATAATCCAGCAGCTACAAACTTTGCTCACAGAATTGTTTAGAGATTCATGTAAAAATAAAAGATGTCGTCCCAGACTTAAATTCAGAGCCACTCGGGTGCTGACATCAGTTCAAGAATTGTGCAAAATGAATGACAGTTCCCTGCCCCCCAAATAGAAAATGCAAACACTTAGGAGCTGCTGTTCTCTTCTCTGAAAATTGCAGTATCCTCACTTCAGGTTTACTTGCCGTTTATGGAATCTGACTGCTTTTAAAATGTCATAAAAAATGTACATCAAATTGATTGACTTTTCCAAGCATCTCTCAAGTGATACGCTTCAACGTTCACACTCATGCTAAGAGAAAAGTCAACAAGAGACTTACTCAAATGACTGACTTCCTCCTTCCCTCTCCCTCCCAAACACACACAAGACTCCCTCCCACAGAGAACACAAAGTTGTTAACTGAAGAACAAGGTAAATAATATGCTAGTCAATTTTACTGATTTTAAAGATACTGCAATTTTTATACACTTCAATGATTTTTCAACATTTTGCAGCTGTTTGGCTTTGCAGCACAGCAATTCATACACTATACTGTACAAAATTACCAGCAAGACTGGAATGATGTATTAATAGAAGGCACCATCATGCTTATTACATTACCAGAGAACAAAAATACAGTAAAGACAATTTTCACTGTACACAGCTTAAAGAAAGGAGAAAGGGGAGGAGGAGGAGTGTGTTCAGCAGCCAGCCATCCCTGTACTGAAGAGGGGCAGGTAGAAAAATCTTAGATATGGAGCTACTAAATCTGGTCTAATATTCAAGACCATAGCATTTAAAGTTCTGATTTCTGTTATTTAGTTCATAACTAAATGATTTCCTTCTGGAATATACTTGTAGTCTTGTTAAGGTTTATGTGTACACACGCTGGTCACAGCAAGCAGATAAAATGCCCTCATCATTTCACAAACTATTCTCTACTGGAAAAAGAGATGAAAGGTTTTTTCCCCTGTTGCCTCCTGTTGCAGATGTCAATGTTAATGAGTTCAGAGTACCCATTAGTGCATTTTGATGAGTGCATAACAAGTTTCTGTTGGGTTGTATTTTTGGGGGGGAGCCAAGAAAAAAGGCAAGATTCTCCAATTGCACAAATTGCACTATTTGTGTTTCCAACATTAACAGGCAGAAACAGTAACACTTAAACAAAATGTGCAGCAGAGGATTTTTTTTTTTTTTTGACTCAAAGGACCTGAATTCAGTTGGGCATGTCCTTGTAAGTTCATTTTGTTGTAGATAGTTTAAGATACGGTCATTCTCAGTCCTTAATTCTCCAAGTCTAGATTTATAAATTAACAATGTGAATCCTGTTGTGAAATTGGGGAAATAATGTCCACCTCAATTTAACTGATAACCAAAAGATGCTTTTCACATCAAAGAAATGATCAAAAAGGCTGTGTCACATTCCAAAGCCAAAAAAAAAAAAATTAACAAGAATGCAAACACGATGAATAATGTACCACTGCCAAGACTTTGCCAACAGTGGAGCTTCAGCGACGCTGTCCTGTGAAGCGGCCTTCCATTTGCCCAGTTCCTCTTCCAGAGCCAAGTTTCTGTGCCATGCCACCTCTTGGAGGAGGTCCTCTTCCATCCCGGTCACGCATCATTCCACCGCCCACTATTCCACGTGGACCGCCAGGACCTCGATCATTGCGCCTAATATCCCTGCGATCATCACCACCACCTCTGGTTTCTCGCTCTCTTGCAGCTCTTGTTTTTTTCTCTTCCACATTTAAACGTACTTCCCCTCGAAACATAATTGGCTTTAAAAGGAGAGAAAATCATTTACATGGGCAGGTTAGACACCAATACAAATGTATTCCCTTACTTACAGAAGTAAAAAAACCTAGGGGCACCTGGGTGGTCCAGTCGGTTAAGCCTCTGACTTTTGATCCTGGATCAGGTCATGATCTCACTATCCAGGAGTTCGAGCACCGCATTGGGCTCTGCGCTGATAGCGCTGAGCCTGCTTGGGATTCTCTGTCTCCCTCACTCTTTGCCCCTCCCCGGCTCACACGCATACGCACTCTCTCTCAAAATAAACTTCAAAAAATAAATTAAATGATCCACATCTCAGACTTTAAAGCCACTAACAAATCTTTATTCTTTACATTAAAACCATTTCTAATAAACTACTTTTAGCTTTACCATTAAGAAAAGATGTTCTATGGTTTTAAAATGCACCAAGTTAATGTTACATACAATAGGAATAATAAAGTTTTGAACTATGTACGTCCTTTCACTTACTTTTGCAATTAAGATTCTCTGAACTGGTTCAGAGTCATCAAAAACCACAAAACCAAAGTTTGGAAGCTTTCCCCCAACACCCTTGGTATTGATGCGAAGTTCCACAACGTTTCCAAAACCTGTGAAAATATATATTACACCAAGGGGATTAAACATTTTAATAGAATACTTTGTAGCTTTAAGTGTTGAGGAGAAATAACCTTAATCTACTCGAACCATTTCAAATAAGGTGCAAGCTGCTACACCCAGTGACAACTAAAGTACATTCACTCATACACATAAAGATGCTAACAACTAGTCTGACCGCTTGTTACATTACCCTTCTGAATTGGTCCTTTCAAAAGGAAAGTTACCTGCATAGCTTCACAAAGACAAGGACATTTTCTATTTCTGACTTATATTTGCCAAAAGAACCCTATCCCCAAATTTAAGAGCTGAATCAGCTCTTTCTTCTAACCTCTATCACTAGGCCAGTCAACACTCAGTAGTCACAGGGAAACATCTAATATAACCTTCTACTCACTTCTGACCAATTAAAGTGATTGGTACCTAGAGATACACACAGTATATAGAGAGATAACAAGTTTTTTTTTTTTTTTAAGTTCTAATTATATTATGAAAAAAGCTCTATTCCCCCCTGCTCAATTTTACAATAAAGCAAATAAACTACTCACTCATGAAGAACTCTTTCAGTTCATTTTCATCAATATCATGTGGCAAGTTACCAACAAAAAGTTGATGACTGTCTGGATAGCGAATTATTCTACGGTTGTCAGATTCATTCTGTTCAATATCTCCTCTGCCTGAGAAAAGGAATAGGACAGACATTAAAGTTTATAATATATAACAACCAGTTCGAAGCAATGAATGTATAAAAGATATTCCTGTTTTAGTTTAATAAGATAGTGAGCTCCTTGAACAGAGGTGGAAGTGCCTATTATTAGTAGGTTAGTTAGAAAACAACATGACACTAAGTATAAAGTGAGGGTATTGACTAGATTGCTAAAATTCCTTCTTCTAGATCTACTGGTCTGATTATATGAAAGTCCAACATTAGTACAAGTATTCCTCCTTAACCAAATTCTTGCCATCATCCAAGAACCAAACAAAGTTCAGAGAGTGAGATATATTTGTTCTAAGTATTTGTTTAGCATTTTGAGATTTACAAATTAATCTTTGGTTGTATGAAATTATAGCCAAATCAGTAAATTTAATACTAACAATATTTCATTTAAATAGGCTATATACATTTTAACGTGCTCAAATTTATACAAAAAATTTTTATTTGATCCTCTCAATAACACAAAACACAATGAGGCATATAAAAAAGGCATCACACAAGAAAAATTTGTGTAGTAACTAAATGGCATAAGAGAATCTCATAATTTAAGGCTCTCACCCAAGATCATAAGCTCAAGCAATAGCAAAACTAGGACAAACCCCAGTTCCCATGACTTCTGGTTTATTAACGGATCACTTTATTTTACTTTTGTGGGAAAAATTACATAGGCTATTGACGGATACGATCTCCCACCTCCTCCCAAAAGCAATCTAAACATACTTAAAGAATTCAAATAGAGGTGCTACGTATATTAGCTAACAATGGAAACAAGTCAAAAATCATGGCAACTTACTTAATACCTAAGACAATCAAAATAAGAAGAATCGGGGTGTGCTTATTGTTTATCTGTGAAGAGATAAGAGTGCTAAGTAAGAGAGTAGGTTATTGGCAGCTCGGTTTTGAATTCTTAGAACCAGTGACAATAACCAAATAAAATCTGTCTCAAAATTTTTACACTTTCAAAATACATGTCTCCATCACATGTCAACTACTCCTCCCCTGAAAGTCAGTTGTTCTACCCCAGCCTGTACCTTTAGCAAGTTAAATCTTTTGAGAAATTTGGTATTAAAAGGAACTGCATATAAAACACATTATAGTTCTTTAAGTTCAGTCTTTTCCAACTTTCCAACTGCTAAATGCTGAAGGCCACAGAGGGGCTGACTCACCTGGTCTTGGTCCTCTAGGAGGGAAACCGGGTCGTTCTCGAGGTCGTTGTTCACGCACCCGAGGTGGCTGAGACTGAACTTCTGGTTTAGCTTCAACTCTTGGCTAAAATACAAGGAAAAAATACATTATAAATAAACTCATTCCACAGGGGATAAAACAACTAAAGCAACTACCAGCAAGTCATCAGCAGACATAATGGTCATTTTAAGCTCAGAATAGTTTTAACACAGTGTCCTATGTATGTGAGGAATAAGTTTTACAAAGATATTCTGTACCAATCTAGGACTGTAGGGTAGGTTTGTTTTCCCATTCAAGGATACAGAACTCAAAATAAGCTGCTTTTACAACCACGTTTTTTTCAATAACTTTACATCCACATTGAGACAGCATTAAAGGTACTGCTACAAAAATCACAAAAATGCAAGATGAGCCACTCCATGTAAATGCATATGCAAAATAAAAAATCAACTTTATTCTAGACAAAATTATGACACACTGTCTAATTATCTAGTTTGCTGCCCCTCAAATGTTACCAGTGCTTAGCCAATGTTCTAAACTCCACCCACAAACCTTAAAAGTATTTAGATAGTTCAAATTATACAGTTTAGCTTATTCTAAGCAACTAAAAATACTACCTGTAAGTTAAAATTAAATAAACAAGACAGAAACATGTGTAAAGCACCTCAGAATCAAGGAGTCCTTCACCACCCTACTGTTCTTACATATAGGAAAGGAATGCAAGACCCCAACAATTTTCTTTAACTGCACCTGTGGGAGGGGAGGCTCAGGCAGGGAGTAACAGAACTTTTTAAGATGCCTTCCAAAAATTTCTGCCAACTGCCAAAAATTACACACATATAATTAAAATAACTATTTTAAAACAAAGGAACATCTGCTATTACCTTTTCCTTAATACAGTGGCATTTTCAGTATTCCCAAACTCTTCAGGCCATCCACTGCCCAAATATTTATGGTCCAAGGAAGAGATAAAACATATGCACCTTCAAAGAGTGCCGAAAACACTCAGCAGGATATGAAGAAAATGTCCTCCAAGTCAGAAAACTAGTGATTTCAGTCATGTCTTTATGACTGATCATCTCTGAGGACCCCAGTCCAGCCAGTGTCTCAAATTCTTTCATCACTTATATAACTGATTATTATTATAACTTGCAAGGTCAAATTCTAATACAGAAAGTTATAAAGAGTTACGCTTCTTTCAAAAGTGACGATTTACTGTAAATGACTTCACCCTCTGTAATCAAAAGGTACAACAGTAGTTTTTAACAGATGTGTGTATCTCTTCCCAAACTTTTTTTCCACGAAGATTTCCCATTTCCCTCAAGATGAGTTGCTCTCCCCAGGGCACCTAGGTGGTTCAGTCGGTTAAGCATCCGACTTGATTTTGGCTCAGGTCATAGCATGGTTTGTGAGTTCAAACCCCATGCTGGGCTCTGTGCTGCTTGAGAATTATCTGTCTCCCTCTCCCTCTGCCCTTCCCAGGCTTGTACTCCCTTTCTCAAAAATAATAACGTTAATAAAAAAAAAAAAAAAAAAGATGAAGTTGCTTCCCATGTTCTAGGATTTTGCTATTTTAAAAATAATTTCAACTCTCTTCAGTTTTCTCAATTATTTACATGTATTTATTCCTATAAGGACTGTATCCTAATTCATTTCTACATCACCCAAAACCAAGCACAGTGATGTTAGGCACAGATGTTCAATAACTATTGGTTCATTTAGAATTAAATTACATTTTTAGTTTTCCAGCATGCAGGAGAATATTCTATGTCTGACAAGGGGACCTATGTTATAGCCCTGAAACCACTGTGATCTGTATTTGCAGTTTAACACTATATGGTAATTTGACCCAAAATGTGATGCCTGAAAAAGGCACTTATGTAAGGTTTCACTAAAGGGGGCCTAAAAGTGCCAACAATTAAAGAACAGACAAACTCAAAGTTTGATGAAGCTAGTATCCTTGGGAAATTAATAAAAATAGCAAATGTACCTTTCAATTTAAAATTCTCAGAAAAACCTGACTCAATGAATGCAAATGTTATCAAAGAACTTAAGAGGTGCCCTCACTGATCTGATTTACATTCTTTTCCAAATTAATTACCAAAAACAAAAATAACTACACATACCAAAATAGACAAGTTCTTCATTATCCTTTAAGGATTTAAAATTAAAAACAAATTTAAATAATTTACAACATCTTTTCAATAATTCATAGTGACTCAGCAACGTGTCAGTAGATATTTGATGATGCCAGTGTGAAAAAATATGTAGACCAGTATTCCTTTCAACAATTCATATATGTCAACTAAGCCAGCTGTGAATTCATAATTATTCAGGCTCAATTTCATGATTAAAACGATTTACTCTGAATGAGATAAAATGGCTAACATACCACATACTATACTTTAGAGCCTCAAAATTAATTCCATATAACCAGAATATGTGCTCAGGTGACAAATCTCACAAATGAAAGTCAAACAGAATATGAAATAAAAATGGAACCATCAAATCAACAACAGCAGGTAAAACCACTACTAAGTCCTTCAACTGAACATAATCTAAAGTTAGATAAACTAGTGAATTTCTAGACAAAACCTTTTTACCATGAAATTAACTTACCTACTTCTAAATTAATTCCTACCAATACCCTAAAATTAGATTTAATTCTTTTTATTAAACTGTGCTAAAAGTGATAAGGAAATGGATACTACACCAAAGTAATAAAATAAAATTGAAGGATTTATTAAATCTAGTGGAAAAATCATGAATCCATTCTAAATATAGCCTAAAAAGAGCAGAAAGTTATTTTAAATAGAAATTTAAATTGTACCTGTTTAAAAATGTGTTAATAAGGGGATGGGTTGGAAAATACCATCTAGTCTCCTACAACTAAAAAAAAAAATTTTTTTCCCCCTGGCCAAAAAGCTAGGATCTCATGTAATGTAATTCAGACATGCCTTAAATACAGTACTCTTCTTTGATGAAAATGGAGATACATTTCCCTCCAATGGGCTAAAGAAACCTATAGGTTTACATGAGTCACAAAGGGACTCTGGTGTCCAACTACATAAATTCAAAGTCCAGCCCTATGCTATTTATACAGCTGTCTGACCTTAGGCTGAGGTACTCTGGGCCTCAATTTACTCATCTGTGAAACAGGAATAGTAACAGTAAGCACCCTTACAGGGTGACTGAGGATTAGATGAGAATGAATATAAAGTGCTTTGCACAATGCCTGGCACAAACTGAAGACATAATAAGCATTAGCTATTTTATTTCTTAACTGGAAGTTTAAAATAAATGTAGCCAACACTCAGAAGATGAAGTAACTATCCAAAGGATTTCAAATGCAAATCTGGTAAGAAATCAAGAATTTCAAAAGAAAATTCAGAAGTCACTCATCAGGTCTTCAGATGGGTTGAAAAGCACAACCAACACCTGACAAATTAGTTTTCTTCAGTAAGACACAATTCTGGTTTGTAATCTGCCATTATCCAACATTTCCTGAATATGTTAACTGGAAAAAAAAAAAAAAACAGGTACCTTGAAGCCATGTGCTCTATTATGTAGCTGACTGTGTGTACCAACACCATAAAGGCTGTCTTAGGATTACTAACTACTTTTTTCAAACCTCAAAGTTTCACTGTTTACAGCAAATAAGAGGTTAATGTACACTAACCATTTTAAATGTAATTTTCTAGTGGAATGAAGTCTGACGCAAAATGTAGGAAAAAGAATAGAATACCCATTATCTGTACTATAGAATTAACTAAATTCTAATTTAGTTTAAACTATACCTAATAAACACACCAGGTAGCCAGTGTCTTATTTTCAGTGTTCTGAAAGCTCTGAAATGGGTAAGATGACAAACAGATGAAAAGCAGAATACTGGAATGATCAGTTAAGTGAACACTACAGTCATAAGTTGGTACAGGCTTCAATTAAATGGAGTGAACCACTTACAGACTGAGAGTTTAGGCAGCATAGTTTTTAAAGTTTTCTATTTTTTTAAAACAGTGATTTTTTTTGTAATGCCATACTACTTTGTGCCTTTCCAGATTTCTTCCCTAAAACATTTTCACTAAATAAGATTTAAAACTTTAAAAGGAACATTTTTGTTATTTTAAGAAGCCTTTTAAATGACTCTATCTACCTATCTATCTATCTATCTATCTATCTATCTATCTATCTATCTATATTGGTAAAACCAACTTAGTGTGTATTTCACACCCAAACCCCAGATACTACCTATGCAGATGATGAATGGAGATTTGGCATTTATTTAAAGTGGGTGCACTGACATTTAATACAGTATTTTTGTATATTTAATCCATAATTTCTGATCGACTCATTTAAAGAAGTATAAAAGAGATAAGCAATTGGCAATGTAACAAGGATACAATCCAATGTGTTCACAGATCGGTTACCTGTGAGACTGGTGCTTTAACATGGGGTGGAATTCCAGAGGAAGAAACAGTACCACTAGGAGGCAGGTTTTTACTGGTCACTGAAGCCCAGGAGAAAGCCTGCAGGAAATGCAACAAACCTAGACTACTAATCATGGAAAACCACCAACATTCCTATAGGGAAACTTCCAAATATATACTTTCTTTTCATTTCTAAACTATTGTTCTATATCGGAGGACTCCTCAAAAGAAAGGCACACACACACATGCCAGTCTATGTGCCAGCTTTCAAAATCTCATTATGCAAGATTATCTGTTTTGTCTGAACTACTACATAAATCCACAAGCACGTTCCTATATGCTCTAAGGAGATGAGCAATGGCAAACAAAACCACTAACTACACATACTAGAAAAATAAGAACCTAATAGAACCAATTCCTTCCCCTTTTGGGGGAAGATAAGGTGTGATGGTATTGAGGGGAAGGATAGGAAAGAAGAGAGTACTCACTGGAAACTTTAACAGACATTCACAAATTGAACAAGGAATCTCCTCCTCTCACTACCCAAATATACTTTAACCTTCTACTTTACAGAAAGATAAAAGATGTTTTAGGTAGGCTTAAATGATACACTATGGGTGTCACTCATCTTTCCAAGATCATTTAATTGGTGGTGTAAGGAAATTGCTCCCATTTAAACCGGAAATAACAGGTACCTCTTCTTTTAATAGGCCAACTTGTTTAAGTTGGGAAATTGCATGACTCCAGTTGCATTCGTGCATAGAGGATTTCTACAGAATGAAGAGCAACTCTCAGTTATATACATGGACTCAAATAATCTCATGTAAGAGACTAAACACTGCACACAGACAAGGATTAATTGTAAGTTTCGCTCTTAGGGATATTTTGAGGGGGGGTGGAATACAAAGAAATTTCCTCAGGATTACAAAAAACCCCACAGCTTTCATATACATAAAAAAAAGCATGGTTTACTATATTAAACAATTTAACATAATAGAACAAAGGTCATGCTCCATTAATGTTACCAAATATAAAAGTGTGATGTCACAGGCCTAAAGAGCTTCTTTGATCTAACCTTTGGTGGTTCCTGTGGCAGAGAAACAGGTTCAGCAGGAGGAGGAGAAGTAGACTTCTCCTCTAATTCTTCTAAGTTCTTCTCCTCCACTTGTGGCTTTAGTTCTTCAGTCTTTGTTTCCGATTCTGGCTCAGGTTCAGGTTCATGAGAGGACTCTTCCAAAGGTTCCTCTATGCCATTACTATAATCAAATAGTTTATTCATTTTTCAGTATGAAGGAAACAATCAGTTTGATTAAAATAAGATGTAGTATTTCTCTAATCTAATGTGCATAACTAGTAATAAACTGTTTTGAAGCCAAAATCCAGTAAGAACTAGAAGGTGGAAGGGAAGGCAGAAGAGAATGACAGTCTTGCACAGCATTTCTTTGATCCCGCTATTTTCAAATGGGAATACTTAATTACTAAAAATGTTTACTTCAATACTAACTATAAATAAACCCCATATTTATAAAAATAAAATGCTCTCTGTGTTGTCCCAAGTATTCTACATCATCAGTAAGTAATCACTGCTTTGGGCAAAACCATGTTCAATTTTCTATATAAATAAAACAACTTTTTCCAAACTTCTTGCATATATATATATATATATATATATATATATATATAT